CAGGTCCTAAAATTTGGACAGAACTTGTACCTCCCCATCTAAGAGCCATCATAAACCTACAACATTTCAAGTCAAAATTCCGTGCTTTTTTATTGACACTGGATCTCGACTCCACCACCTAATATTATATTAAGAATACGCTAGAACAAATGATGCGGATGAATGGTCTTTATGAATGGTTAAACATTTATGTGTTTATATATGTACTGAGCGAACATTTACATAGTTATATGTCTATATATGTATGACACGAACATTTACTTATTTATCTTCAATTATCTTTCTGCTTCAGTTATTTTCCTTATTTTATTTCATTAACTATTCATGTATCTACCTGCAGTGGCCACCACAAGACAAACAGTCTTATTCGGTCTCCGCATATTCAACTTCATAACTTTTATTCACTTATTTGATATGTTGTTGATTATGAATAAAACTTTGAAAATGAAATATATATTATATATTATATAATGTTATATATATATATAATGTTATATATATATATATATATATATATATATAGAGAGAGAGAGAGAGAGAGAGAGAGAAATATACGTACTTACATACAGATGAATACATAAATGATATATAAAAGAAAGGATATATCAATAAGCGTATGTAACGAATTAGCGAATAGTTATATGGGGAAAAATCAACTATAAGTAAAAACATAATAAGTTAAAAGAAGAGATGCGTAAAAAATAAAATGGCTAATTTAATGGAGAGGAAAATTATTAAATTAATTAACTATATAAGATATAAATAATATAATGACACAAGTAGAAAAATTAATATTAAAATATTGCGTGTGTGCCGAATAAGAATTACATAATATAAAATATTGTGCATAAGACAAGTAATGAATAGAAATAGAATGAGTTAAAAGATAATGAAAAACAGAGATTAGAAAGTACAGATTGTAGTTGTAAAATTTGTAAAGTAATGTATATTACGGTAATAGATTGTTGATAAAGATGTAGAGAATATAATTGTAGTATGATGAGAAATACAGCGAAATGGAGATAAGACAGAGATGCAAGTTGAGTGGAATACGTGGAAGTTAGGAAGGAAAAAAATAATAATTTATAATAATTTATATAATGAAACTAGATTAGGTTTATGAGCTGATGTGATTGATTTGAATTGTCTATGTATAGACGTTATACTCTGATATGTTGAGCAAGCGGTGATTACGTAGTTGTGTTTGCACTGGCGTAGGTTGTGCGTGGTAACTTTGATCGATGGTAGTAAAGGGTGGACGACATGATGGCAATTAGAGCTTATTTTTTTAATAGGCGGGCATCTAAAATTTTGAAAGTTTGGGTGACAGGTGGATATGATTACGCGTGTATACGAAATGTGTGTATGTGGTGTTGTTGTCCTATATCCGACACCAGAGGTGTGGCACATCTTCCAGGTAGAGATGGCGAAACGGACGGATCTTGTTGATGTTGTAGTTTAATTTTAATTTGTAGCTTTTGAGGAGGATGCTGTAGTTGGACTAAAGTTGTGCGAGTGTTCATTTAACAAATCAGTGTGACGGCTTAGTGGTTAAGGTCGCCTGGTACTGTTACGTAGTGCGTGCAGTGATCGGGTTCGATTGGATCATAAGACAAAAAGATCCCCGCCTAACACTATGGATATAAATATATATCCATGCCTAACACATGCTTCGTGTGTGTTGCGTCGTTTAGCATGTATTCACATACGATGTTTGTGCGCGTTGTCGATTTCTCTGAACCTAGGAAAAGGGTAATAGACCTTAAACTTTTTAACCTTTTTTTTTTCGAATTGGTTTGTTGTAGGTGTTGGAGGTTATCCATTAAGTAAAACTGTTGCTTGATACAAACGAATGCCATTGTAAGTGGTTGTTTACAAAAATTTTTCAGAAAAAAACTGTTGATGTCTGAAAATATCCTTATTTCGAGGAAATATTTTGTGATGAAACATTTTGTGATGAAATTGAAATATTTTGTGATGAAATATTTTTCGATGAAATATTTCGAATGAGTGTTTCTTTCATTTTACAAGGACGATGAATTTGACTTGGGCTTTAGTGACAGACATGGTTGATGCTGTAGCATTGTAATAAATATTAAGTGTGCTGTTGAACGTTGAGCATTCGGCATTCTGTATGGGGCGAGTATTGTGACAACCCGTGATGGTACGAAGGGCAGCATTCTTTGTTGTCTGTAAGCTTGTTAAATTGGTTTTTGAAGTGATTGGGGTTCAGACTGGGCATGCATGTTTGAACACTGATCTTCCGATGGTCAGGTGATCTGGTCTAGCTGCTTTTGATGATCGAATTTGTTTTATGGCTTTGTTAACTTGATCGAGAGTTAAAATAGGATAATCGGTTAGGCAATATTTTTTAGTTGTACGCACTGCCATATTAAGACTACTTTGGGCCCTGGCTGAAATGCATTCTGATCTTTTATTTGATGCGATCATCACTTTTTTTTGCAATTTTGATTTTTTTAAAAAGGATTCTTTGCTATTTTTGCATCGTAATGTTTTACCATGTTTTCTTGGTCAATGCTTTTGGAATTTAATATAAATGGTGCTATATGAATTCACTAACAATAATATACAAAAAATATTATTAGACTTAGGCTATGTAGACATACATGGACTTAATGCATACCAATTTTTATTTTTTGAATACAGATGAACATTAATTTTAATATTAATTAGTTTTTGAACCGCAGAAATAGTTACATCGGACAACATCGAATTTTTTCTGCAGCAAAACAATCTATAACATCGTCAAAAGAAATTGACTTTGGCAACGTCATTTTTTTATTGTTATTATATATAATGACGACAATCGCGATTCTTTTATTTATACTTCCTTTCCTCCATCTCAATAGTGTTCTTCATAATCTATCTCTATGTTTTCTTTAATTATCGCTTGGTCTGACTCTATGTGCCTTAAACTTAATTATTCTAAATTTGAATTAATTTGTTTTAATAAATCTAAACATTCTATTACTATTTCAACTATTATCTTACCTGATTCTAAAACCCTTGATGTTTCTCACAAGTTTCGTAGTCTAGGCTTTATCTTTTATTCTAGTATGTCTCTTTCTTCTCTGATTAATAGTGTTGCTAGAAGTTCTTACTTTCATCAACGTAGAATAAAACAACTTTTTGCCATTTCTTGATGATCCTACTCTTCTCCTTTTTGTTATTTCGTTAGTCTTATCTAGGATTGATTAATGTAACTCGCTCTACTATGGTCTTCCTGATTCTATGCTCTATCTTTTAAGCAAAGCTTTTAACTCTGCTGCTCGTCTAGTTGCTCGTGTCCCTTTCTTTTCTCATATATCTCCATATCTTGTTCTCTTGCACTGGCTACCTATAAAATATATAATAACTTTTAAAATTTGCGAATTTATGTATAAGTCTCAATCTAAATTATTTCCTAAGTATTTATCAGATATATTAATTGAACTAAACGCCCCGGTTTACGATCGTCTTCTTGCTCTCAGTTCTTCTTAACTTGTGTTAAACCCTCTTCTGCTAAATCTGCATTTGTTTTTACCCTCTTTTCTCTGAAACTTTCTACCTCCTTCTCTGACTACTTCTCCATCACTTACAAAATTCAAAACAAATCTCAAGACCCATTTGTTTGCAAAATTCTTTGAGGAGCACTGTTGAAAATCGCGGAAATAGCGCTTTATAAACTAATTGTTTGATTGATTGATTGATTGATTGAAAAGATTATGAGCAGTCGAAGAAATCGTTCTTCACCTGGGCCGAACGGTATTACTTATCTGGTGTACAAAAAATGCCCGTCTGTGCTGTCTCTAAGCTTAAAATCAGACTGGCGCAGTTTGTAGTGATTCCAAAGCTACTATGACTATTGTCAGTGTACGAATTCAACCTGAAAACAGTGAAAAATGTTGAAAAGAAAATCAACCGTTATACTAGAAAATGGCTTGGTCTACTTGCAGGTTTGACTTCACCTGCTTTTTATTGTCGAAGAACAGTTTTAAAACTACTTTTTAAGTCTGCAATTAATGAATTCAAATGCACCAAAATAAAAGATCAATTAATGCTTGACAACTCAACAGACCAGTGTATAACTCATGTTAGAAACGTGGAAATCTGGAAAGCCAGAAATTAAATAGACTTGGCAGAAAAATCTTTAAAACTTAAAAAAATTGTTGAAGCAGAGCAAAATACAAAACACGGTGTAGGCTGATTTCAAAATAGGGGGTACTCCATGGTCAACAAAAAAAAAACAAAAAATTAGATGATTATTGAAGAAAGACGTAATGAGTAGTACGACAGAGAAAGAGTGATGTCATCAGTGCAGCAGAGTCAACAAGGCAGATGGTCGTCGAATAATTAGCCAAAGACCTTAACAACCATAATATAAACAATCTTGCCGTTAAAATTTTAAAAATCGCGTTTTATATTGTTTATAGTTATTAAATTTATTTTATTGGTTTTCTGTTTTAATTAAATAATTTATATAAATTAATAATTACTTGTTCCTTTATATCAAATATCTTACATACCTTATAATGCACTGAAGATGAGTTATTTAAAACTCGAAATAGCTATTTGCAAATTTATTTAATAAAAATATTTTAAAAAACAATAAAATGTCTAATTTCTCTGAAATTAATAAATTAAAAAGAAATATAAAAAAGTTGAACAATGTTGAAAGTAGTGTTGAATTTTTGAAATGTTATATATATATATATATATATATATATATATATATATATATAT